CACCCTAAAAAGTTCGTGATGTACACACACACACATGCCTATCTACCACCAAAACAGAAGCAAACAAGTGAGAAATGGCTCTTCAGTTGTAACCCTGTATCATTGTGTCTATTGAAGGGCACAGAGGATGAGGTAGGGCATGCTATTTGGGATGCCTTTACTGAGAGCCCACCAGTAGGATATATGGAGACTGGAATTAGCTGGCATTACACTAGCAAAAAACCAAAATCAGCCCTTCAGAGTACTAAGAAATGTGAGAGTTCAAAGCCACATATTTATTATGAGCTCTAGGAGTCTGTTTTCCCATTTACACTAATGGAATTGTTGATTCTCAGTTAGCTTGCTTTTGGACTAGGCTGGCACAAATGGGAAGAAAATGAAGCCCAGTTGCTTCTTAACACCTGTGATAAAATCAAAGGTGATGTGTCTGCTGCAGTGCAGTGACAATATTCTTGGCTGTGTTAAGCTCTTAGAAATCTGAAAAGTGAGAGGGAAAGTATGATGAGAGATTTAAGAAAAACAAGCATGAATATGAAGGTTTCTTGCCAGAACAAATATATGTGGATTTGCAACATGTCTGGAATGGGGCCAAGCAGATTTTACAGATTTTACTCTGTGTTCTTGGTTACACAAGCCTAAACACAAAAATGTGTTTAAAGATGTGATTTAACAGTGGATAACTTTATCAGCTCCCTTATTCACTTAATGTAAGGTACATTAAATGTCTACTTGCTTCTTTTGGTTTCCTTTCTTTCTTTTGGTTTCCTTTCTTTCTTTTACACAGACTTGAACATTTTCCTCTCCTACTTGACTGCATTTGAGTGGCACCTGCAGAGACATGCCTGCCTTCAGGACAAAATGAATGCTGATAATTTAATAAATAAAGAAATCATGCTCCTCACAAAAAAAAAAAAAGAAAAAAAGAAAAAGAGACAATTTTAAATGCTGTTGCATTTTTCAGCAAGAAAGAATTGTTATCAGGCAATTTAAAAAAAATAGTTTTTTCTCAAGATGGAAGAAATTCTCCTTATTACTGAGCCAGTAATTTCAGGGTAGCATCCTATACTGAGAAATGGAAAAACCTAGTTTTTTTTTCTTGACAGAGCTCCTTTTTGGTTCATCTCAGATTTTTCAGATGCCCGAACTGAGCATTGTAATGGTAATCCCTAGCCTGGCAAGCAAGATGAGTGTGCCCAGCAGTGGGTTACTGCCTCGGCTCCTAGCCCAGGCGCTGGTACAAAGGAAACCTCTCTGCCAGAGTACTGCCTGTGAGCTACAGCTCTTGGAGCACAGCACTGCCACCAAATTGCTCACAGTGCAGCACGGGGCAGCCAGCATTATCCTGTACTATGGTCCACCATGCAGAGGCATAGGAAACTTTACACAAGACCTCTTACAAATCTCTGCTGCCTGAGCCCTCTTATGCAGAGCCTGCCACCTTCAGAGAGGTCACCCTGGTTTCTGCCTTCTGCTTTCCCCTGGGTCTTAGGCAAGGCCTGTGAGTATCTCTTGTTCCTGCCCCTGTGAAATATGGGGGGTCAAGACATGAGTTACACTTTTTGTTCTGCATGTCAAGACCATGCAATAGGCAAGAAAGGGGTATGACAGGCCCTATCTATGCAATTGGAAAGAAGGAAATGGTATCTGGGACGTGATATGGAACAGAGACAAATCAAAAGCTTTTGTGTTCTTACTAAACTTAGCTGAAGAGGAAAGAAGAGAATGCCAGGAGGTACAAAACAAAGTGTCATGCTGCTTTTGTAATTGCCTAATTGGACAAAATAATTGTCTCCTGCAGGGTGACCCTCTCTTGCGGCTCCAGCAAGGAAACGCAATACAAAATGAGGAACTGGATTTTCTGAATAAACCTATTGTCTTTATTGCGTTACCATTTTATGCTATTGCGATTATTGCATAATTACCCACTTGTTGTGAATACTCATATCTTTTTACATATTTCTTGATCTCACAGTCCTTATAGCATAGGACCACCCAGAGAAATCCTTTGTCAAAATTCCTGTGCTCTAACGATGCCAGAAAGTGTTTTGTTCTTTGGCAATTAACTTCACTAAATTTCAGAGCACTTAAGGCCTATTTATCTAGAGGCCTACAGAAACTTGCTCACATAGTTGGTATCACTAATGGATTGATGACAGGCAGCAGTAAAACCCTTTGATCCCAGTCCTCAGGTCCTGTAACTTGTCTGAGGTGGATGGCTGAGCTGCTTCCTCCATTGATCAAGCAGGTATTATTATAATTAAGCACCTTTGAAGTGCCAAGTTATATGAAGCTCTGGTGCTGTTCAGGTTGTAGAAGTCAAATGAAATTTATTAATATTCTCATTTTTATGGAATATCATGCTGGCTATGGAAATGGTTTTTCTACACATTCAGATTTGTCCTGCTGAGGCTGCTCTGCTTGGGAAAAGCACATGGAGGGAAATCATGCAGAGCTGAGAACCTGTCCTCACTCCTGATTTAATCTTAACCTCATGTTTTCTTAAGCAAGTCATGGGATCTGCATCTCCCAGTGGAGCTTTAGACCCAGCCTTGTTGCTGAACCAGGGTGATCTGTGGCACTTTGCCAGTGTGACACGCAATGCAGCTCAGCCAAGCATGAGAAGAACAGTCCTGAGCCATGTAGCCTGAAACTGTGCCTGAAACTGTGCCTCCACCACCAAAGTCAGAGCATTCCTCCAGTAATACCCCCAGGAAAGGGTCACCTCAACAGTTTAGTAAAGAAAATCACTTTTGCCATTGTGCCTCAGGGTTGTATTCACTATTCACTATGAGGCTGGGAGGCAGCTTTGTCAACCTCTAGTTAATGCTTTTGCTGGCAGCTATTCCCTCTCCTCGTCTGTTTCCAAGAATCATGGATATAACCAGCACTCACCCAGGCTGCCACCCACTGCCTGCCACAGCCCCGCTGGAGCACCCTGCCCAAACTGCAGCAGCAGACACGAGAGAGCCTAGTCATCAGCAGCCCAGAAAATGCTTCATGGGGACATTTGAGAGCACACTCATTTCTCACAGCCCTGTCCACAACATCAAGTAAGTGAATTTACTATTTCATTGGCTGTGCTCTCACTAAGGGGAATACACGTTGGAGAAATTTTGGAAATGAAGAAAACATGTGGGTCTAAACAATGATGTCAAAAGAGGAAAAAACACACCAATTTTTATTCTAGAGCATGCAGGGACAAAACCTCACACATGTGAACTGCAATAAGCTTCTTTAAAGGTGATATTCAAATAACTGTCCCTACTTTTTCTTCCCTAGAAACACCTTTCAAAAGCTAAAGTCAATATATATTAAAATCTAAATAGAATAAAAAGGAGGTAAAAATGCCAACATCTATAAAATGTCCACAGAAGATATTTAAAAAGTTTCAGTTCCACTCTGCTAGCACTAAGAATGGGAGAAATGGTGGGCTCAAATCTTGAAGTTACCAGATAAACAGGTTGTAATAAAACTAGATAGAAAGCAGTGAGGGAGGTCTTAAAATATGCAGTTTTTAACTGCTCTCCTTGAAAATCTCAGTTGCTGTCTGTGCTTTTGGAGGACTGGGTTTGTGGGGAGGAAAAGGTGGTGCTGAGCACCCTGTGCCCGTGATAGGCACATCGCTGGGGTTTTTGCTTTGGATGAGCTCTGGTCTGGTCCTGTGAGCTTAACTGCTGTTAGCAGTGGATTGTATTGTTTCACCCAAGAGCAGCCAAGACTGCATGTCACCTGCCTGCTCTGCGATGTGAAACATGGCACTGTACATGATGGGAGACAGCTGAGTCAGCTGCCAAGTGAGCTCCTGCTCTGAAATAAAGCACTAAGGTAGGCAATGCACTTTGTTAGTTGTTTGTCACCGCAAAGTAAACCCTTTATCTGGCTATCATTTCTGCCTGTAACTAAGAGAAGTAATTAAAAAAAGTGCCATCTGCCCAAACTGTACAAATATGAAAAGTACTTAATATGTTTGTATGAGAAAATTCTAATACGGACAAAGAAAGTACAGGGATGCTTGATTTCTCAATGACTATTGGAATATTTTGGTATGTAGTTACAAAACTACTTCATGCTACTCTAAGTCATTGCTAAGAAAAAATTTAGGAGCTTCAGGAAGGCCACATCTAAAAAATAATTTCCAGTAATTGCATCATTTTATAAAGTCTCAACCGTGTTGGAAAAATTGGCTTATAGTCTGAATGACAGTTTGTGTGGCAGATTTAGAGGGGATACGAAATTTTCCCATATCAAAGCTGAAAAAGAGGTCTGACAGCTGCAGATTCTCTCAGAATTAATAATGTGGAGCTGTTATAAGACAATATTTAAGAAAAATTAATTCCTTTTTGCAACATTGAAGCCACTTTCTTATAAAATATTAAAAAGGATTAAAATTTGTCTGCTGCCTGAACAGGAAAAAAAATGTTTTATCATAGAATCATAAAAGAATCATTAATTCCAACTGTTATTAGTTCTAGCTTATGATTTAGGGTAAATCAAGCACCCTCAGAGTATCTGCACTTGCTACTAAAATTCAAGACAGAATCTTGGCTCTGGCTTAGGAAAGAATATCTGCTTTCTAGCTTCATCATTTAAAATCCACTGACCAATCCTTACTTGCAGAAGCTTTCTCCACTTCTTTAACTATTGCAAGCACCTCTAGAAGATTAAATAAACTTGTTATCTGCTATGTAAGCTCTCTGAATACCAATTGACTTATCTGAAGTTCTGATTTGTCCTAACTTTACAGATACAAATTTTTCCCTATGTCAGCTTTTAATGACTGATATGTTGTATAATGTCAACACAAAACCAGGAGACATGGCCTGGTTTTGTATTTTTCTGTCTAGCAGGGAGAAAGGCTGACATAAAATTTTAGCAGGAGACTTAAAAATTTAATTTCAAGCCCAGCTAAACTCCCCCTGGCTTGACAGTTTAGCCATTCTGCTCCCCATTCCCACCTGCAGAGGAGAGACAAACTTGTGTCTCATCTATGTGAAACTCACCTGTGCACTTAACCTGCTGCAGCCCCCTAGGCAAGGCAGTGCTTTCACAGCTGGTGAGATGCTGCTTGTGCTGGAGCAAGAGACCTCAGGAGCTGCAGACAGGTCCTATCACTGGGAGCAGAGTGCAGAAACCCCAGCAGCCTGGCCAGCATTTATGTAGTGGAAGCCAGGGCGAGTGCACAGGGGAGGGTGAAATGAGGGGATGTTGCAAGCTTTGTCTGGCTGTGTGGGTTGAAAGAACTTCCCGTCAGTCTCAGGGAAAGTCCCAGCCCTTGTATTTACAGCCGAAGTGAAGCTGTGGTTGCTTTTGTCATGCTGGCACTGACTTGCCCCTTGGCTATCGGCCAGAACTAAGGTTTGGCTGCCTTCGCCCACTCTTGGAAGACTAACCTGAGAATCCCAGAAGCCAAAAATGTTGTAGCAACTATTTGCCTGGAAGGGGAGTTGCTTTTTTTTTTTTTTTGTGCTGGGGCTCTCCTGTGCCATTCCAGCTGCTGGTAGGGACAGTAAGAATGTCACATTGAAAGGAATTTGGCATTCAGGTGGCTGAAAGCACCTGCTCTCTGAGGTTCCCTAGATGTTCTTGGCAGCTGCAATGATCCTGCGGAGCCAGAGCCTGCGATGGATACGTATTGAGAAATGAGCTTTTAAGAGGTAACCCCCTGGGAGGATGCAAAGCTCTTCATGTTACACATCTGTTTAGAATGGAAGATAATTCAAGACAGATGCCTTGAACATCAAGAGATCACTGAACTGCATCACAGTCCAGATAGGAGAAAGGGGATAAGAGAATCCCACTAGTGCTGAGATTTTAAAAGAAGTGTGGAAAATAAATTGAAAGGGATTTAAATAGCATTGCACTCTAGATTTGCAAGCAATGTCTGCCAGTAAAAAGAAAGAAAGCCGATGAAAAAGATTTTTAACGTCAGCTTGCCTTTGGGAGACTTACTGGAAAAAGTAGGAAAACATACTAAAAGGGGAAAAGAGAACTTAAAACATAGAGCTGATCTCTAAAAAAGAAAAAAGAAATGACAGTAGTTCCATTCAGAACAATCTGTGACTGTGCTAAGGCTGAAGAAACTATGTCTGAGAGCTTGAGTCCTAGAGAAGAGATCAGATTGAGTTTGATATTTAGGACCGTAACAGCCCATGTCACTTGTGCACTGTTACAAAAAGCACAAGCCAATGTGATGCTTGAACCACTGGAAAGATCCAGGGGTTGAAAAAGGTGACATCACTTAGGAAGACTGTGGAATACAGCAAGGTGCATATGGCATTGGCAAAGCAAATGACTTGGCTCAGAATGTCTTACAGGTGGAGCAAAGGGCACCAAGGCAGTGGACATGTCTGGGGTTAAACAGTGCAGTATTCATTTTCATCTGAGCCACCAACTAACATGCTACCAAAAATAGTGTTATAACACTTAAATTAAAACCCACAGAGAGTGGAAAGGAAGGCAGTTGACTCTCAGAGCTTAAAATGATAAGGCTAAAACTACAGAAGATGTGTGAGAAATAAATGTGCAAATTCATAATGGAAAAAATAGTCAAGTGCTACGCCCTTGAGAGCATCAAGGTGATCTAAGCAAGGCGATCCTGTGTAAGAACATGAGCAAAAATCTGAGAAATAATTTGAAGCCATTTTCCAGTGACTTAGTACCTTATGAATATTAAAAAAAAAAAAGCAGGAAAGGGTTGAATTGTCCAATTCTCAAACCTATGTGATCCCTTCACAATGTAAGGCCATGCTTTAAGGAGAAGCTGTGTACAGTTATTGCTTTGGGATGACTGGAGGAACTGACAGAGTAGTTCTTGTATTGTACTTGTAGAAAAGATGGATGAAACCCTTTTTTGTCCATAGATGGACCTGAAGGAACAAAAAAGGTCTGTTACTCTACTAAAGGGAGATACAGTCAGTGGCAAATACTTCTCTGTCCCTAATACATCATTGGGCTCCTGGTGGGTGTTCATGTTAGGAAAAAGAAAAGAGATTTTTTGAACTTACACGAAACTTTTGTATGATTCTATGAAACCTTTGTGAGCTGCAGTCTTTTCTCAGATGTCTATTTGGGCTCTGTTGGGCACCTGAGGAAAAAAGTGATAAATTTTTCATGCCTTTCAGGTTAGTAAGATTTACACAGATGACATTTAGAACTGATGAAAAACACTGGCTCGAAGCAGCCATAGAAAGAAACTGTGCTTCTGGGCTGAAGCTGGACAAACAACACTGTAAATGCCATGTAGCACAAATAATAACATACTTGAAGAAAAGTGAGCACAACCCCCAAGTAAATCACCAGAAAATATCCAGCAGTTTGTGTTCTTCAACAATATTTGGGTGCTGAATTGTAAAAAGAAACGTACCTAATGTAGCTTCTTGAGAGTGCCATCACAATGATCTCAATGTAACTTGAAAAAATTAAGAAATAAAAAGAATTAATAAGACATTTCAGACCTGAGTGTAAAACATCTGTGGGGGCTTTTGGGGTGTATGTTGATGTAGTCCTTTTAAACTGTCGAAAAAAACAAATGATCACAGTAGTTTCTGAGTTGAAAAAACTTAGGTGTTCTCAAGAAAAGATTTAATCTTAGTCATGGAAATAAACAAAACCATACATTTTTATTTACTGAAGGCCAGGGCTGTTTGAAACTGATTATAAATCATAAGAAATTACCAAACAGACCCTGGCCAGTGGTTATTTTTCATTATTTTTCAGTTATGAACTGTGACTTGCAGCTTCAATATAACCTTGAAATTGCAAGCAAGATTTCGAGAGCATTAGACAATGGAGCCAAATCCAGAGAGATATTTGTACATCACTCTTATTGCAACAATAGCTACTGAGGCTGAGGTGCTTCAGAAAACAATTCGTATCATGAATGAAAAATCAAATTTAGCCTGAAAGCATGATAGTGGTAAGCTTGACAGTACTACTGGGAAAGATCTTTCAGAGCATATGTGTGGGTAATTTCAGGATTCATATGTATAAGCAAAAGGCCAGAGACATCTTGTACTTGAATCTCAGCCGAGCAGTTGTGTTTAGAAAGAAAATAAGGCAGTGTATGTAGTGTGGCCATGGTGAAGGGCACGTCTAGTGGAAGAGTTTACAGAAAAGCAGGAAAAACCTGTATTTTGAGAGGATATGCTTATTTCTGCTTCCTGTGTGTTAGTATTCCAAAGCATTAGTCTCCTTTTCCTTAGATAACCTTCCTATCTATTACTATTTGTCCCCGAGAAGTCGACTCCAGAAGTCCATACTGTGTGTCAGATTTATTTCTGTTGACCTAGCATAACTGGGAATAGGTAACCATTCAGCAAACACAAGCTTAAGTAGGAAATGAGGCTTTTAGAGAGGTTTTGTCCAGTACCTCTTGTTCAGCCCAATAAAACAATGGAAAAAGGAATCAAAATACCATGCAGAAATGCAAAGACAGGTGATCTGCACCCATAGACCTCTGGAGCCCTGGGTGCTTCACAGGCTGTGTGATGCTGAGGCAGGAAAACCGGCCTCGGCACAGAATGAGCCCCAGGCCAGGGTGTTAGAGCAGTCACAGGGCTGCTGCATCTTTGCCCTTCAGGCAAGGCACTTGTAATAATCCTGTTAGTCCTGTCCTTGCTGTGTTCCTGCTGCAGTAGCAGCAGCACTCTGCTGTGACCCCGGCCAGGCTTGGGAGAGGAGTATGGGGCTGCTTATGGTTGGGTGGCATAGGTCCAGGGCTGGCATCCAGGTCCTCCTGGCCATGGAAGAAAAAGGGCCACACAGCAAGGTCCAAACCTCCCTCTTCCAGACACTCCCTCCTGCAGACACTCCCCCTGGAGCAGCAGTCTGTTGTGGGGAGTGACAACATGCTTTTCCTCCACCACCAGGAAGGTCTTTGCTGTGAATGCGACTCCTTACTGCCCTCTGCACTAATCTGCCTCAGGGCTACTGGTCTTCTCCCAGAACCTACTCCAGACCTGGGATAGGAATCAACCAAGACGCCAGCAGCCACCAAAAGGCAGGAGCTCCTTACCATCTCTCCTGCACAGCCTCTACCTCCATGTGCAGGTGGCAACTCCCTGTGATCCCTCCTCTGGCTCCCCCAGCACTTCTCACAGCTTCTGCTCCCCTCCTCCTCTCCCCTCTCCATTTTTTCCTCACTCACATAAATCACAGGACCTGCTTGCTGACATAGTCCTGGCTCTGACCATTCTGTCCATCTGTCACCAGAAAGGGGTTGCTGTTATCACGGGACTTGCCTGCCAGCCCTAGGTGCTCAGCAACCCTCACAACCCCCAGCAGCCTGCTGGGAATGGTGAGCTCTGCTCTGTGTCCCTCTTTGGGGTCCTTGTCATTCAGTTTTGAGCTTTCATCTCTCACACGTCATCTTTCTTTCTCTTTTTTTTTGTCCCCATTTGTTGTCTCCTATCATCACTTGCCTGTGCTCCTTTTCTTAGTAAAAAAAAAAAAGAGCAATGGTGTTACAAAGCTACATGTTGCTTGTAGGAGGTGGTTTCCCCAGGCTCAGATAATTGTGGAAGAAGAGATGACAACACTAAATAAAACCAACCCAGAAGGGAAGGAGAAGAAAAGAGGCACAGAGCCTGTCACTTTGTGCTGCAAACTCTCCATCTGACAGCAAACACCAGTGTCCCAGGACACACAAAGAGGGTTGCTGCCCCTGGAAGAAACAGTCCTGGTGCCTTAGAGGGAACCAGCATGCCCACAGGGACACCATGGGGCACATCAAAGGCTGATGGAAACTTACTGATAAATGCAATCTCAAGGCTGGTGATAAACATTTATAACTCTCTGTAATATCATTGTTTGAAATATACTTGTTTTTATCTTTTCTGTGGCAGGGAAGGTATAGTCTTGGGATAGTGCCTTAGAGGTTTAGCATCTGAAACAAAAGTTCTGGCTATATCATTGTCAAGACTTTCTGTGTTATATACAACCTTCACAGACTAGAGAACGTAATAAACCAGATCTTGTGCTAGCTGCTTGTTCTGAGGTCCATAATTGCAAAGGTATTCGAGATGGAAATCATCTTTCAGGATTTATAAATTAGAGATCACAAAACACCATCAAGCACACTAGTTTGTGTGTAACCCAAACCTCAGTGATGCCAAATAGAATGGATATCTA